CGTTATATTGACGTCTTTGCGCGGCTGAAACACTGATTGAGCGATTACATGAGACAGGATACAGATTGTAAAGTTGTACCCTTTCTTTTAACTTACCTTCAGAAGTTTAGTCATGATTATTTTGTGCTGAAACTGGTATTAATGTGGAGGAGATGATCAGTTCACGTGCGCCTCGCGCTGCCGCGTCCGTTGAACTGAGGCGCTACAGCGATCTGTCACTCCACAGAAAGCCGCCAAAACGGCATTTATTGTTTGAATACTGCAATATAATGGACAGAACTTGAAATCTGAGACTTTGTTTCATATTAAAAGTACCAAAGCACAATGCTTATTGCATGTATTGGATGGGAAATGCCCTTCAACGTTCAGTCCATTAACTGAAAACAGGCTAGACTAATCGATTCTTGGGATTTAAGAATCGATATCATTCCGTAAAAATGATAATCGATTAATATCGCGATGTCGATATTTTTTTACCCAGCCCTACTGGATACCTCTATCCTCTTGGACAGGTTTGAGATGTTATCTGCTATTTATTGTTTATTATGTCTACATGGCCTCTTTTGTATTCTTTACTCTTCCAAAGACAATAAACTTGACTGGGCCTGACATTAATCAATAATCAGGATGGCTAACGATGAGGCCTCATCATCCATTCATAACCCATCATAAAAGAAAAATCCCATAACATTCTTCAGGATTATTACTCATAAAAATAGCCTAAACTTATTTTTGCTAAAGGCATTACAAAGCTTCTTGATTGCTGAGTCACGTTTCATTTGACTTTCCAATACTACATGCCAAAATAAGGCAGTGTCGAAAAACAGGAAACCACACAAATGCCTTTAATGACATGTTAATCAAGGTCAAGCAACACTCAGTTCAGATTTCAAATACTAAAACATTACAAACAAATAAAAATGAATAAATGAATTAATATATGCCAATAATAATAATATTCAATGCAGCATTCAAATACATAATACATTTAAATGATAAAATAATACACTAATTTGTACACATTCATGACAAGCAGAACAACTTCTATCCTGAAAATCCATTATAAATAAAAAGTTATACCAATAAATTGAATGTATTTTTTTTAAATGTATTTACACAGAAATTCATACTACTTGAATAATAGGCTATCTAATAGGGCCTTACTCCTTTGATCTGTTGTACAGACGTCTCTTGAATATGGCAATCAAAGCAGTTATTGTATTCTGTGGGCGTGCGTGCAGTTCAAATATGAGATTTGCTGCAAAGATACACGTGAGACCTAACCCAGTAACATTTTCTTTTGATCTTCTGACTCGCTCGGTGCTGAAAACTACATTACCCAGAATCCTCTTCACGCGATCAGTGACGCGGCAGGTTTTTTCTCCGCTCATCTGGTCTCTAGCCACTAACGTTACAACACAAAACACCACGGTCTGTTTATCATCTCTCTAGAAGCAGCCGGCGGACAACACCATTTTACAGGCATTGCTTTTTGTTTCAATCCTCTGTTCTTCTTCCGAGCCTGAGACTGACTGAGATCAGGAACCATTGAACGGCAGAGAGATTGTTTTTGTTTGAATTTTGAGGAGAAGTCTCAACACCTGCCTTTGTTAGCAAGTTAGCCTCGTGTCCTTAAAGGCTCCTCATACTTAATTCTCTCTCTCTGTTATATTCTGTTTTGTTTTATTTTCTTTAATCACTTATTCAGTCATACAGTAGTTGTAGCTAAAACCGCGTGAACGGAGCAGCTCTTTGTTCGTGCCTCGGAAAAAAACACTAGCACCGCCGTGAGTACCTCATATTCACTAGAAAAATAAACAACAATGCTTGTGTTTTATAAAATAACATTTATTTTACTAGTGATACGGACTTGTTTTTCGCAGCGTTATATCGTTTGTTATATCTTCTGGATATCATATAGACTTTAATCCTAAGAATCATTTTAAGCTTAACAATATTGTTTTGATTTCAAGAATGTACAGTATTTGAAAAATAATGTGTTTTTTGAACATTAATGCATGTCAACATATTCTGTTACACCAAATACACCAAATAATGATCTTTAAAAAAGCATCATATGACCCCTTTAAAGAGCTCAGCTTATTTAAGTATATTTATTGTATTGTTTCAGTCTATCAGATAAACTGGCATGGGAATGTTGTCCTTTTCTAAAAGCGAAGATTAAATCTGTCACTGAAGTACATTTGTCATTTAGCAGTGCAAAGAAGTGTCATTTAATTATTTGTATATGTTATATTTCTCTGTCACGTACATACAAACATTGTGATTTTTTGCGTCTTGTGTTTTAGTCACTAACTTCACAACTGTTCGTGCTTACTCAACGTCCAATGGAGAGTCATGATGATTGAGAAAGCAGTGCACTCCATATACTTTATGGGCAGAATTTGAATTGGCTTTTGGCTTTTGTGGGCTCGTTACAGACGTGTCATTGTTCTTTGCTAATGTATTAAAATTAATCACGATTTTGACACACACAGACATGCTTTACAGTCATTAATCAGTGTGAATTTGAAACACATTTCCAAAAGCATTGACCTATTGAAGAATTGATAGAAAAAGACAGCCCAGATTGTCCTTCCAATTTGAGGCCTTTTATTTAGTATTTTAATTAGTGATGCACCGATCATTATTTTTATGGCTGATTCAGATACTTTTTTTTTTTTTTACAAGCAAATTGAATGATTCCAATACTGGTTACCTTTTTTTAAAGCAAATTTAGGCGATGTATTGTTTATTTGAAAAAAAAAGATGCTACTAACATGTTGCATAAGCAGTTTCGCATAATTTTCAATGTTCAGTATTGCATACAGGTGCATCTCAATAAATTAGAATGTCGTGGTTTTTATTGGTCTTAATAAGTATTCTAATTTGTTGAGATAGTTAATTGGTGGGTTTTTGTTAAATGTGAGCCAAAATCATCACAATTAAAAGAACCAAAGACTTAAACTACGTTAGTCTGTGTGCATTGAATTTATTTAATACACGAGTTTCACAATTGGAGTTGAATTACTGAAATAAATGAACTTTTCCACGACATTCTAATTTATTGAGATGCACCTGTAATTTCAAGATTTAAAGCAAAAATAGAATGGTCTAAAAAAATTATATTAAATATTAAGCAGCACAACTGTTGTGAACATTGCTAATAATACGAAATGTTTACTGAGTACCAAATTAGCATATCAGAATGCTTTCTGAAGGATCATGTGACACTAAAGACTGGAGTAATTGCTGCTGAAAATTCAGCTTTTTCATCATAGGAATAAATTACATTTTAAAATATATCAAAATAGAAAACAGACAACAGTAGTTTTAAATTGTAATAATATTTCATAGTATTGCTGTTTTAAAATATTACACTATTTTTGTGGACAAAAAAAACAAAACAGAAAAAAAACACTACCCTTGGTGAGCATAAGATATGTATTCTGGAAAAAATCATACAGACCCCAAACATTTGAAAAGTAGTGTACTAGTGAACATAGACCCATTACTGTCTTTTGGCCACTTTGTTGAGTCTACACAATACATTTTTGAGGATGGCGTATATTGTGGAAACTAGGTCAGACAGTGGGCACCTCAGAGGAAAAGGAAGTAGGAAGAACTCTCTCTTTCTCACATGCTTGGCTGAGCTGAAAAACGGCTTCAATTGTTTTGTTTGTAGTTGCAACACCTGAATTTATGCATATTATATTTTAAATGGCTGGTTAGAGTTGTCTTTACAGTAAACTAGGAGGGAAAGGTGACTGTAAAGACTTTTACATTGTTACAAAACAAAAAAAGGATCATGTGACACTAAAAACTGGAGTAGTGGCTTCTGAAAATTCAACCTTGTCAACACATAAAATATTTCACAATATTTACAATTTTACTGTATTTTTGATCAAATGAATGCAACCTTGGTGAGACTTCTTTTTCTTACAGACCCCAAACTTTTGAATAGTAGTCTGTGTGACAAAGTCAGACAGGGAACTTGTTTCTAGCCCACCTGATCGGACTGTGTATGTATTTTGATTGTTTAATCTCTATTAGGGCTGCACGATAAATCGCATGCAATATTTAATGCGCATCTTGTCAGAAAGCCGGTTCTGTATTCAGCGGTATTTGATTACAGAATTACAGAACCAGCTTTACTGATAAGATGCGCGTTAAATATCGCATGCAATTTATCGTGCAGCCCTAATCTCTGTTTAATTTTAGGTACCTGACGTATCAAATAAAACCTGATTCTGATAATATGTCCTGACTCGCTCTCTGCACGCTTTTTGCTCACTTTTTGTTTCGAACAGCTAAATTTTGAGCGGTGTGTGGAAGATGAGACTGGTCATGTGACCTGAAGGGCACACCAACCCCCATCTCAGGCCTCTGTTCCCCTCAACTTCCTTTGGGGACAGCCAGAGCTGATCACTGCGGGCTGTAAATGAGTTATTGTCATGGAGACTGAGGTCAGCCTCTGCCAGTCAAAGCTGAAACGGGCAGAAGGATGAGCTCTGGCATACAGAGTATCTTGTGCTTGCATCATTAAGAGGGGATCCTTTTGAACTGCTCTAAAGTATATCTAAAAGCCAGCTGACTGGTGTTTAAACTGTTTTTATTAGTGTTAGCATATGGACTGCTCTGAAATATGACTTGTTTCCTGTTTAGACAGCCATATCTAAAGAGCACCCCCCTTTATTGGATCATTAGGATAATTTGACATTTTCTGGGAAGGTTGCATTGTGCTCTCCTGGGTAGTAAGTGGTTCTTTAGATGTGTATTTGGACGGCTAGCCTTTGTTTTCAGACATGCACACATCGCCCCAAGTGCATGGAGACTCAATACCGTGTGTGTTTCTCTGTGGTTTCATGTACATGTTTATGTGTGTGCCTGCATGGTTAGTTCATTGTCACAGTCCAGTCTGTTTGTTTCTCTTAGGTTTCAGTGCTCATGTCATTGAATAATTAAAAAGCATCCTGAAATTGAAGCTCGGCCCCTCCCCACCTCTCTCCTGTCCTCCCTCCATCTGTCTCTTCCACACTCGTTTAAAGGGGTCATATGATGCGATTTCAAGTTTTCCTAAGAGGACACAACTAGAAATCAGTGGTTAAGTTGTATTTACAACACTGTTCCAGAACAGTTCAAATCAAATATTCGTGTGTGCAAAGCATTTTACGGAGGACTGTTTCCTAAACCTGTCGCGTTTCAGAAAGGCGGGGCATAAAGGAGAAACAATAATGTAGCGTATGTGGAAAATGTGTTTTTTGAACCTTAAACCGCATAAACACATTTCATTACATCAAATACACAAAATAATGTTCTTTTTTAGCAACGTCATATGACCCCTTTAAGAAAGCAAGCCATTTCACTGTCATGTTCAGCTTGAATGTTGTTCGTAAACCGTTTCTTGTTCCTAGATGGTTATCTTCAGTTTTATATTGCTTCCTCTCTCTTTGTTTATAGTTTATGTAACAGTGATTCCGCATTATAAGTTTAAAGTGTGCAAAGACCGCATATTTAGGGGTCGTTTACACAGAATGTGTTTGCAGTCCATTACGCCGCTTTTCCATTGTTGTTTATGTAAACATGCAGACGTGGTGACTGTTGCGCTCACGGCGTAGTCTTTTGCAGTGCATTGTGCATAACACTGTGTTCTAACAATGCAGTGATCAAGGTAAAAGTTTAACTTTTGAAAATCACATCTCTAGACATGGTGTTTTTTTTTATTTCACTACACTGTCTCACATTTTTAAATGCAAAAACACGTTCTGCATGACTGGCCTGTTTTTACATTTAAAAAATACAAGATGTGAGCAGTAGAATGGGGGAAAAGTTAAACTT